CTTCCAAATTTACCCCAAATTCCCCTCAAACCCCCAAAATTTCCCTCAAATCCCCCAAATTCACCCCAAATCCCCCGAATTCACCTCAACCCCTCCAAATTCACCCCAAAACCCCCAAATTCACCTCAAACTGCCAAAAATTTAAACCAAATTCACCCCAAAACCCCCAAACCCCCTCAGGCCCCCCAAATTTACCCCAAACCTACAAAATCCCCCTCAAATTTACCTCGAACTCCCTAAATTTACCCCAAACCCCCCAAATTCACCCCAAACCCCCTAAATTCCCCTCAAACCCCCCCAAATTTCCTTCAAATCCCCCAAATTTACCCCAAACCACCCAAATCCACCCCAAATTCCCCAAATTTACCCCAAACCACCCAAAACCACCCCAAATCCCCCAAATTTCCCCGAAAGCACCCAAATCCACCCCAAATTCCCCTCAAATTCCCCAAATTTCCCTCAAATCCCCCAAATTCCCCTCAACACCCCCAAATTCCCCTCAACCCCCCTAAATTTACCCCAAACCCTCCAAATCCACCCCAACCCCCCTAAATTTACCCCAAATTCCCCTCAAATCCCCCAAATTTCCCTCAAATCCCCCAAATTTACCCCAAACCCCCTCAAACCGCCCAAATCCCCCTGAAATCCCCCTCAAACCACCCAAATTCACCTCATATCCCCCAAATTTCCCTCAACCACCCCTCAAATCCCCCAAATTTACCCCAAACCCCCCAAATCCCCCTGAAATCCCCCAAGTTTCCCTCAACCCCCCCTCAAACCCACCAAATTTACCCCCAAACCCCCTCAAACGCCCCAAATTTACCCCAAACCCCCCAAATCCACCCCAAATCCCCCTCAAATCCCCCAAATTTACCCCAAACCCCCCAAATCCCCCTGAAATCCCCCAAGTTCCCCTCAAACCCCCTCAAACCGCCCAAATCCCCCTGAAATCCCCCTCAAACCACCCAAATTCACCTCATATCCCCCAAATTTCCCTCAACCACCCCCCAAATCCCCCTGAAATCCCCCAAGTTCCCCTCAAACCCCCTCAAACCGCCCAAATCCCCCTGAAATCCCCCAAGTTCCCCCCAAACCCCCCCCAGCCCCCTCCCCCGCCCCTCCCCCACCTGCCAGCTGGCGTAGAGCCGCCGCAGCCGCCGCGCGAAGGCCTCGCGGTCCAGGCTCAGCGCCATCAGCGGCCCGGCCGCGGCCCCGCCGGAGCCGGGCGGGGAACCGCCGGGGCGGGGCGGGACCTTCCTCCGCTCGGCCGCCGCCTCCTCCTCCTCCTCCTCCTCCTCCTCCTCCTCCTCCTCCGCCGCCGCCGCCGCCGCCGCCGCCGCCCGTGCCGCGCCGCGGCGCCCGCCGGAAGCGCCGCCTGAGGCGACTTCCGCTTCCGGTGCGCGCGCGAAGGGCGGGAGGCGGAGGAGGAGACGGTGAGGGAGGGGAAAGGGGCGGCCGGGGAGGGGAAAAGAGCGGCCGGGGAGGGAAAAGGGGGAGTTTGGATGAGAAAAAGGAGGAGGAAAATGGGGGGAAAGGGGAAAAAACACACAAAAAAAACAAACAAACGCGGGTGAAATCGGTGAGGGGGGGGAAAAGGAACGGGGGGTCACGTGACGGCGGAGAGGCGGGAAAAGGGGAGCGCGGGGCGCCGGCGTCACGTGACCGCCCCCCCTCGCGCCTGCGGAGGGGAAAAGGCGGGAAAAGGGGCGGGGCCAGATGGGTCACGTGGTGGGGAGGGAGGAATGGAGGAGGAGAAATGGAGGAGAGGGAGGAGAGAGGGAGGAGAGAAATGGAGAGGGAGAGAGAAATGGGGAGGGAGAGAGAAATGGGGAGGGAGAGAGAGATGGAGAGGGAGAGGAGGGGAAAGGAAATAGGGAGAGGGAGATGGAGACAGAAATGGAGAGGGAGAGGAAAGGGAGGGAGAGAAATGGAGAGGGAGAGGAGGGGAAAGGAAATAGGGAGAGGGAGACGGAGACAGAGAAATGGAGAGGGAGAGAGAAATGGAGAGGGAGAGAGAGATGGAGAGGGAGAGGAGGGGAAAGGAAATGGGGAGAGGGAGATGGAGACAGAGAAATGGAGAGGGAGATGGGGAGATGGAGGAGGAGAGGGAGGGAGATGGAGAGAGGGAGAGAGAAATGGAGAGGGAAAGACGAGGGAGAGAAATGGGGGAGATGGCGAAGGAGATGGAGATGGGGAGAGGGAGAGAAAGGAGGGAAATGGAGACGGGGAGATGGAGATGGAGGGAGAGAGAGGGAGAGGGAGAGAGAAATGGCGGGGGAGATGGAGATGGGGAGGAGAGTGTGAGGGAGATGGGGAGGGAGAGAGAGAAATGGCGGGGAGATGGAGACGGGGAGAGGGAGAGAAAGGAGGGGAATGGAGACGGGGAGAGGGAGAGGGAGATGGAGGAGGAGAGAGGAAGGGAGATGGGGAGAGAAATGGAGAGGGAGAGGAAAGAGGGAGGTAAATGGAGAGGGAGATGGGGAGGGAGAGGAGGGGAAAGGAAATGGGGAGAGGGAGATGGAGAGAGGAAAATGGAGAGAAATGGAGAGGGAGATGGAGGAGAGAGTGAGGGAGATGGAGACAGGGAGAGAAAGGAGGGAAATGGAGATGGGGAAAGAGAGGGAGATGGAGGAGGAGAGAGTGAGGGAGAGAAATGGAGAGGGAGAGAAAGGAGGGGAAAGGAAATGGGGAGAGGGAGATGGAGAGAGAGAAATGGAGGGGGAGATGGAGGGGGAGGGAGATGGAGAGGGAGACAGGAGAGGGAGATGGGGAGATGGAGGGGGAGAGGACAGAGAGCACCAAAACGAGGCAAAAATACAGAAAAAACAGAAAAAAATACCCAAAGGAAAAAAAGAAAAAAAAAAACAAACAAAAAAAA